ATTTACGCCAATTTATTCAAGTATTACTGCTGTATTTTTGCAATAAAAAATGTTATCCTACTCCGTATAATGCCAATCAACTAAGTATACATTAAAAATTTTCAATATCCGACCAAAAAATAAATAAAATTTGCCTGATTTCACTGCATGAAAACTTAAGCACAGCAAAGCCACGCTCTTCACCGCACAGAAGAAGCAACTACAAAAGCTAGGTGGATGCCCACAAAAGGACCGTCAATTCCACATAAGCGTTGAATGCGGCACGGCATAAAGTTTTCTTCCCATGACGATGAGAGACGAAAAAGGCGCGGGTGATGATAATAATAATGAGGCAAGCGCGGCGCATGTAGAAATATGATTCAGAATAATGAATCGTGATAAAAAAAACAGCTTGTTACACGTATTTACCACCGAAGATGAGTAGAATCATGAAAAATGAGCAAGATAATTTGTAATATGGTGGGGCGTACGAAATTTCCAGTCATTCTATGCGCCGATCTTATTGAATCATTGCAGAAACATGTAAAAAATAGCACAAAACAATCTAACAATCATTAAAATTACTTTCACATCCCCAATTAAGGTTTAAAATATGTGAAACCTTTGCAATAGATCTCACCCGTGACCTACGTGACCTAAGCAAATACTTCCCAGATAACGAACAAGCCAACGTGAAAACCATCTGACTACACGACGGTAATTTTAAGCTAACAAATGCGTTTAATAATACAACATCTTTATTGAACAAAATAGAATACGAAACGTGTACAAGGCAGATAATTGGCTGTAAACGTATCGTAAGACACGAGCTAAAAAACAATGAGCAATAAAAAGAATCGCTCTCTTGCCACCATTAACGCAAAAGAATGCTGGCTGAAATTTTAATTTAAGTTGGTTATGATGGATATAATGTATTGGTTCGTTGCTCGTTGAATACTATAACTAAAAGAAAACATACAGGGGTTAGATAAAATCAGAGAAAAAGATCTGACATTTTTATACCTCTCGTAATTTTTGGACATCCTATAAACAATGAAAACGTGACATTGATATGTTTTATTGTTTATTGTTGATTCTAATTAATATTTTATCATTGAACAGATATTTTTAATAAATTTTTGTGTCTATAACCTAACCTAAAACCTATTAGTGTCAAACCTCTCTGATTTTCAAAGAGGCCATACTGTTGGTGCCCGTATGGCAGGTGCTAGTGTGACAGAAACTTTCCGAATGCTAGACGTTTCTAGAGGTACTGTCTCAGGGGAGAGAGAGAGAGATTATATCTGCTATTAAAAGTACTGCTTTTGAAAGAGAACGAAACACGTCCTCAGCAAAGCAGAAAGTCGAAGTTGTCTGAGAGAGACCGTCGATACCTAAAACAAATTGCGAGGGATAATCGAAAGACCACGGCTGTTAAAATTACTGCAGACCTTAATGGACACCTACAGATCCAGATCCCTGTTTCCATAAAGACTGTCCGCTGTGAGTTGCACAGATCTGGATTCGATGAAAGAGCTGAAATTACAAAACCTCTGGCTTCAAGTACAAATGCTTCAAAGCGTTTAGAGTGATGCAAAAACCTCTATAATTGGTCCCTCGAGCAATGGAAAAATGCGATTTTCTCTGAGGAATGATTGTTTACCTTATTTCCAACCTCTGACCGAGTTTAAGTTTGGAGACGGCCAAAAAGAGTCATTTAATCAAGACTGCTCTGCTCCTTCCAACTGTAAACCATGGCGGGCGTCTGTGATGATCTGGGGTTCTATTTCTTGGGAATCCGGCGGATCAATGATCTCTTCATGGAAGAATCAGCAGCCGTGACTAATTAAGAATTTTGGAGGACCAAGTTCATACAAAGGTTCAAGCACTGTTTCCGGAGGGGAACGTCATCATTCAAGATGATAATGTCCCGATCTATGCAGCTGAAATTGTAAAAAATGGCTCGAGGAATATCCTAATGAAGTTGAGGATTTCATTTGGCCACCACAATCACCAGACCTGAATATTATCGAGCATTTATGGTCGATTTTAGAGATGCAAGTCAGAAGTCAATGTCCGTCGCCATCGTCTTTAAAGTAGCTGCATGGACGGAGTTTTTCTGAAGAATGGGTTAAAATTCATTTGAAAACAATTCACTATTTGTATGAATCAATACCTAGGAGAATTGGAGCTTTAATTGCCACAAAAGATGGACCTACACCCTACTGAAATATATTTTGTGGATTTCTGAGGTGTTTCCTAAAATTTTGTCTTACCCTCGCATATGTGAATTGTGCATTCAATGTTTGTACCATAAGTTTACTGGGCAACTTGCGCCTAACGTCAGGATTTGTTAATGAAATATAATGTCATGACGCCAGTGTTAAAAACTTCGAAGAATACGTCCTAAAACATTTTATATTTGTACATATCTTTATTGAATACACATTGTGAAAGTAAAGTCAAACACTCAGAAACACCTCAAAGGTTAGCTGAAGTGATAGTGAACCTCGAAGGCTGAATTGCGACGGTGAGAGAAAAGTTACGACCAAGACCAAAGAAGTGATCAAAAGACATTTGCAAAGGCCGTCGTCAGTGTGAGAACTTATTCGGAGATAAATGTAGTGAATAAAATCAGGATCACATGCGTGGTCTCTCACACGGAGCGACAATCTAACGCAATGCCATATCTTCCAGCACCTCTGGCCTTCCAAACACGAACGTGGAATGCGATCTCAAGTTTTGCACAAGATGTTGCTAACGGGAGATTGTCTCATAGTGAATATTGAAGGTCAATGTTTAGCGATTTACTACCATAATATTTTAAAATCATACATAAATTTGACATTTAGAGCAGAAATCAAGAAATAATTACATAGAATAATACAGGGGGCTAATATTAAATAATTTTTTCAAGACAAGTGCCCTACATAAAAATTAGATGCTTCATTACAAAAGCCAGTTCCAGCATACATCAAACTTTTCCAGAAATAAAATTAGTAATATTTTAGCCGTAAAAAACTTTGTCTCGATCGCAAAAATATGATAATTGGAACCCATTGCCGGTGATTCAAAACTACTCGTGATTCGAAAACTAATCGATGAGGTGCTCCATGAAAATTAAAAATGTGCGAGTTTTATAAGACGTGAACTCAGACAGACCAAAAAATAAGTCAAGATCGACAAAGACTCTTTAAAGGTCACAGTATTCAAATACCCTTCCAACCAATTCAAAATTCATGTATTGTATCTAGTATCTAAGTGTTAATCCTAACGATATCATGAATCCATTACCACCACTTGTTCCAATCGTTTAATATATATGATCGTTGATTAATTTAAATGCAACTTTAACATTTAATACCTTAACCTTCAAGACACAGAAATTTGTTCAGCATCAAAATATTGCACTAACCTATACTAGACATACTCGACAATTGCGTGCTACAATGCTCTCCTAGATGCACAACTGACCTCTTTGATGCATTACTGACCTCTTTGATGCATAACTGACCTCGTAGATGTATTACTGACCTCTTTGATGCATAACTGACCTCGTAGATGTATTACTGACCTCTTTGATGCATAACTGACCTCCTAGATGCATTGCTGACCTCCTTGATGCATAACTGACCTCCTAGATGTATTACTGACCTCCTTGATGCACTCGACGATGGAGTGCCACATAGTTCTCCTAGAACTAGATGTATAACTGACCTCCTAGATGTATTACTGACCTCCTTGATGCACTCGAAGATGGAGCATCACAACGCTCTCCTAGATGCATAACTGACCTCCTAGATGCATAACTGACCTCCTAGATGCATAACTGACCTCTTAGATGCATAACTGACCTCCTAGATGCATAACTGACCTCCTAGATTCATAACTGACCTCCTAGATGCATAACTGACCTCCTAGATGCATATCTGACCTCCTAGATGCATATCTGACCTCCTAGATGCATATCTGACCTCCTAGATGCACAACTGACCTCAACGGAGCGACAATCTAACGCAATGCCATATCTTCCAGCACCTCTGGCCTTCCTAACACGAACGTGGAATGCGATCTCAAGTTTAGCACAAGACTTTGCAAACGGGAAATAGTCTGATAGTGAATATTGAAGGCCGTTGTTTAGCGATTTACCACCATTATAATTTAAATCGTACATAAATTTGACTTTTAAAGCAGAAGTCTAAAAAAATGACATAGAATAATACTGTGGCTAAAATTACCTAATTTTTTCAAGCCCTACATAAAAATTGTATCCTTCATTACAAAAGCCAGTTCAAGCATGCATCAAAGTTTTCACGAAATAAATTAAGAATATTTTAGCCATAACTTTTAAAAAAGCTTCATTTCGATATGATATGATTTAAATCTGATAATTGAAAACAATTGCTGGAAAGGCATTGATTCATAACTACTCGTGATTCAAAAACTAATCGTTGAGCAGCTCCATCAAAAGGAAAAATGTACAAGTGTTTTCAAAACGGCTCACTCGGACAGACCAAAAAATTTCAAAATCGACAGAAGACTCTTCAAAGGTCACAGTGTTCAAATACCCTTCTAACCAACTCAAAATTCCTGGATTGCTTGTAAGTGTTAATCCTAACAATATTATTATCCAAGTTTAACATTTAAAACCTACTAAACGTACTCGACTATTGCGTGCTATAATGCTCTCCTATAAATATATAACTGACCTCTTTGATGCATTAATGCCCTTCTTGATGCATAGCTGACCTCCTTGATGCATAGCTGACCTTTTTGATGCATAACGGACCGTTTCGATACATAACTGACCTCCAAGTTGCATAACTAACCTCTTTGATGCAATCGACGATGGAGTTATTCAACGCTCTAATAGATGCATACTGACCTCCTAGATGCATACTGACCTCCTAGATGCATACTGACCTCCTAGATGCATACTGACCTCCTAGATGCATACTGACCTCCTAGATGCATAACTGACCTCCTAGATGCATATCTGACCTCCTAGATGCATTACTGACCTCTTTGATGCACTCGACGATGGAGTGCTGCACGTCGAGGTCGAGTGTTTTGATGTTCTGTACAATGGAGAGTTTATGGCAGCTCTGCACGGCGCAGGCCAGCAGCAGCAGCAAGAGCTTCCTGAGCTCGCGCACCCCCGCTGCCGTGTGCGGCTGACGCGAGAGCAGCACCAGGTCAGGCAGCGTCTGCATCTGCTGCTGCCCTACAACTTCCTGCAAACAAAAAACATTTATGTTGATAAATTAAATGTATTGTGATAATTTAAGACTCAATTAGCATGGGATTTTGGCTTAAATTAGCAGGTTGTTTCATTTATGCAAATAAATTAGATGTATTGTAATAAATTAGATGTATTGTGACAATTTANAGATTTTGGCTTAAATTAGCAGGTTGTTTCATTTATGCAAATAAATTAGATGTATTGTAATAAATTAGATGTATTGTGACAATTTAGGACTCTATTCGCATGATATTTTAGCGTAAATTGGCAGGTTGTTTCATTTATGCAAATAAATTAGATGTATTGTGATCATTTAGGACTCAATTAGCATGGGATTTTAGCTTAAATTTGCAGGTTGTTTCTATTGGTTAGTCTTGGAGTGATTTAAGAACCATGTCACATAAAATTCTGTCCAGATTAACAAAATAGTCTTTAATGTGCCTTAATGACGAGTTTAACATCAATATTTTAATATAATTATTTATAATTTGGTATACGAGATGACAAATATATATACGTAGAAGCATATAAAGTTTGAAATTGCTGTTGAAATATTCATATCGAAATAATGTAGCTGGTAAGTTTCCACGACTGAAAGACGAACGATTTTGACGAACGATTAAAATGTCGTGCGTCTTTGTCGAAAAAAAGACGAACGATTAAGATGTCGAGATAAAAACCGAACAGCAATAGAAAATAACCACAGTAACGCTTCAGATTGAGCAACAGATTATGCGAATTCAAATATGCACTGAAATAAAATAATGTGATTGAAGGAATATAGTCAATATACACAATAACATCAAAGCGAGGGTAAAATAATTGAAACGAAGGCGAACTATCATAATGAATTTAAGATCACATAAACAACAGTAGAGTAAAAACATTCATTGGCAGTAAAATTGTAAAAAATAGAATTGACGAAATTAGAAGATAACGTAAACTCAACCACATAATTTAAGTGGCCGTTAAATTCCACCAATCAAAACTAATATCCAGTATTTCATAGCCTCTGAAGCAACAGATAAAATGCATTGTAAGCGGAATACACTTGGACGAGTGCAAAGCTCTGATCAGCGTCAACAAAGCGAAGGCTTATAGATGTGCGGATGGTACTTATTTTGACCACGATAATACCAGGCAGTCTTCGCAACCTGAGTGTGAAGAGAAATCAGGCTAGATTGCAACTCAGTCACACGTTACTTGGGACTCGATCTAATGTGCTTAATACGCAGGCACAAAATGAAACAGTTGCAGGCTTGAAATGACATTTCTTATCTTGAATGAATTTCATATCTGTCTTCTGAGCAGCGACCGACAGATTTAAAAAATGGCTAAAAATGGCCGATTACTTAGGGAAAAGATTTACCAATACTCTATCAAAACATAAAAATACTACATGCAGTACATGGTATTTGATGATACAATGAAATACCATCAAAAGACCGAAATCATACCTCTAATGCCATCAAACAGGTCAATGCCAATAAACTAATAATTACACAAACAAACAATGGCCAATTTTGTAACCTATACGATAAAAAATATTAAGCTATTTGCCCGAACAATTAATATGGCAAGCTGATAACACCGATGCTGTTATTCTCGACACTGTGTTTCGCTATTTCAATTATTGAATTTCTTCCGGAGAAAGTTATAGGAATATTTCGGATGACGACCGTATTCCGTGAGAGAGGTCTGTAATCACGCAGAGTATTGGCACGAGTCCGTAAAAGTTGAAACGATGATTGGTTTTAAAGATATTGTGGATGAACGAGGACAAAAAATCCGTTGCCAAGAGTTGACATTTCTTAGAATATATATTTAAACTTACAAACGAATCCTCATGAGAAACAAGCATAGGTAAGCGCTGGCGATGATGCTCAGAGCTAACCAAAATCTTTACGAATTCAGATCTGCATCACAAGTATAATTCGCGCTCGAATACAAAGAAGAACACTAGGTACTACTCAAGACCATGAATATAAATGATCAGACCCACATATTCATGGGATGAATTTCGATTACGAGGTCCGGGGAGTTGGTCCGCAACGTTGATCTCTGTCATTCACCTCTGTATGCATCTTTTGAACCAGTGAATTAGAAATGCATATAAAAGGCCGAGGGGCCGCAATATATTTTGTGCGTAGCGAGTTATGGAGAAGCAAATTCAATTTATTGCACGAGCGTCCGGCAATCTGTTGCATCAACATACAATGGCAAGCCAATCAAAGCAGCTTGCGAGCCTTCATGCCTCAAAAATTTATGACTAAACGAATAATAAAAAATGGGGAGATATTATTAGGTTGGGTGTTGAATAGGTTGGGTGTTAAATAGTGTGGGTAATAAGTAGATATATACGGTAATTTGTAAAGATAAAAAAGGGAGTGGTAATCTATTATACATTCAAAAACTATGTAAGCGATCTCAGTGGAAAATACATTCAAACCAACAAAAAAATAATTAACGAAATATTCCAGCGTCACAACACGACCAGTTGAAATAAATTTACCATTACACGTAAATTAACTCCATAAGATACGAATTATGCATAAAGGGCAAAGGTTTTATAATAATACGCTGAATATGGCAACAGCTTTGAGTTTGACAACATAGCGCGTGAAGGAAATGAATTACGCAGAGAACATTGTTGCCTTGCCAACTGCTGAATGAAAGATTTTTGAAGCACGAATTATGATGCTTCAGTGTGAACGCCTAGCTATATTGTACACAAGTGAGTTATCTAATTATTTTATGAATATTCGCGATTTCTTGTCTTAATAGGAAATTGCAGGTAAAATTTCCGAATTCGATTTGAAAATTTGAATTATTCAAGAAGATTTTTTATTGTTTATGTTTTCTATTAGTAAATACATTACTATTGGATTTGGTGCCGTTTTCTTGCTTTCCAATTTTGAGTCATTGGACCAATTTTGTCAGGATTAACAAATTTTGTCACCGTTCATACAAGATCGCTTCTTCGCCAGCCAATCATTCTTTTTTGAAAGCGATCACAAAAATGAGCAAGAAGAAACAAACAATCTCGAAAATATTCGCGCTCACAAAGAAAAGAATCATCAAGCGCTCAATAAATATATTGATGAACAGACTAGACCTTTGGATAGATGACCATCACCGGCAGCTAACCTCCAATCACCATCAGCTCTAATTATCTAGTGAGGAGACGGTGAAGTCATAATAGCTGGCATGGTTTAAACATCAGTCTAACAAGGAATTATTGACTGTTTCTCGGTGGCCACTAGCGGGCCATTGATGGAAATTCGCATCCAAAGGCCAATAATGAGACCGCAGGAATTCTTGGGTTAAGGCTATGCATACACAGACCTGATTAACCACAGACTTAATTGACCTTGGAGAAGAAGACGCATTCAAGGTCAAAAAGGTATGCTTAAAGATATGGTATGCAAAAAGGTATGCTTTAGGTATGCTACGGGCCTACGGCCCTCGCAAGCCGTAGTTTGGAAACCCCTGCTTAAAACAGAAGTGAGGATCGAAAGCAATTTGTGCACACTGAAAAACTATACAATTCCTTATATTTTAAAACGATTAATAAACTCGATCAAAACTCTTATTACTTCTTTATTTACAGACGACGTTGTGTAGCCGCGAGTCACAAGAAGAAAATTTTTCAAGAAAAAAATAAAAATAATATAGTTTAAAAAAAACATTACGAAACGGAAAGAGAGCGATTATAAATTATGAACGCATCAATAAATGGCATTGATTTTATTAAACAAAAATATTAAATATCAAATAAAAAATGACATTAATTAAATTAGGTAGCTGTAATTTCATTAATCAAATGATCAGAAAATGGGCAACACAAAAAACTCAGAAGTTGAAAAAATACGATCACTGTTATAACAATAGGGAATAAAAATGAAAAGGAGCCTCCACAGAAAGGGTTATCCATGATGATTCCATTACACTTTTCAGCAACAACGTCTTATTAATGGATAAATTTCATCAGCACTCCGAGTCCTGTTTTTTTTCGATAAAATGTTAGGTCTTGTTTAAGTTTTATGTCTGTCTTACAATTTTGATATAATAATATGATTTTATTCATTTTTAGCTTTTCTCATGATGGAGCTGGACTCCGAAACGTTTTCGATATCGATATGGTGAATTTGCTTGGTGTTTTCTTTGCTTTTACATTCCTTATCAGCACTCCAGGTGTAGAAACTAAACTTGGAGCAATTCTCCCGTACAAGTGGCATGAGCGTAAATAAACTTCGCTCAAATTTATATAGGAGCGAGTATAAGAGCGAACATCTACGGCCCGGCAAACCAGCAGTTGCCAGCTCATCCTACTGGCAGTGAGCCAAACAATATAAAGTAGCTGCTCTTGTCATGCTTTCGCAGCTAATTTTTCATCTCTAAAGTGCAGCTGCATCAGTTTGTTCTTTTATTAAAGTTATGTTTGGTTAAACGCCATGAGATGTGTCGTCAATTGCAGTGGTTGCTGCTTAAAATGACACGGATGGTTTTACAATAATTCAAGTTTTCATTGCAGTCGATTTTGTTCTTGATGCTGCTGATATGATCCTTTGCCTGATACGATCATTCTAATTGTAGAGATGTTGCGTTTTTTGAGTGTTACAGTATAGCAAAATAAAGGTGATTTCGTAGCTGGTAATAATATTAATAATAATAATAATAATGTTGAAACTTATTCTGTTTCCTACTGATGTCATTCCAGCAATTGATGGTCGTTGTGATATTCTGGTTATGATATCCTTATACTAGAAGATGTGCTCAATGATCCTCCATTGATATAATTTTCATGAAGTTCACAGAGCGTGGACTGTGAACAAACTTGCAAACTTGTCGACACATTCTTGCCAAAACAACTCAAAATTCAATTAAAACTAAAGTAGAAATCTATAAGAATTTAATCTAAAATTGTAAGCAAATAAAAGTTATTTATTTTCGTTAGCTAAGTAAAACTATATAACATCGAAACATATTCAA